GTCTCTCCCCCCCCTCCCCCCCTTCTCATCATCCCAAAACTGCAGCTGACAGAAGCTGAGAAGTCCAGAACTACTATCCTCTGTTGCTATTCTACAACAGAGAACATCTCTTACAGAGAATTCCTACTGTTCACAGTAGGAGAAGAATGTTACTGGCTTGATTCATATTAGGATTCTGAAAAACACTGGAAAGGGAAACTGCATTGAAATAGACAAGTTTAGCAATAAGGACAATATCTGATTGGCATTCCTAGAAAAAACACTAACACTGTCATTTTACACATCATTTTTGCCAGTAAGTTTGAAAGAAGGAGAACTATTATTAAAGGCCTTCTTCTGCACCAGAGGAGCTTTCCTATTTATTACACAAAATCAACTTTTTTCAAGTCTTTATCACACTAGTCCAAGGAATGATTCTACAGCTAACTCTCTATTTTTCTAAACAGAAGTTAGTCAAAAACAATCTGAAGATTTATCTCCATAATTTTGGAAAAAGGAATTTAAAAAAAAAAAAAACACGCTCCAGAGTATTTTAATTACTACTCTGCTCTGAAAGTTAAAAGCAATGGCGTCAGCACAGGATTCGGCAGGAGCTGACAAGGAACTAAGAAAAAGGAAAAAGAAAAGACAGAGCTCTTCTTTCTGAAGAAATTTTTCTTTATTCCTGTGACTAGTCTGGACAGGATGATAGGGGAATGAGCAAAAGCAAAGCCCACAAGGACTTATCAGTCAGAAGTCTAAAAATATCCCTAAAGGTTAGTCCTCATCTAAGCAACAGAGCATGGCACCTGGATTTTTCTGCATATCATTTACTTTGGATCTTGCTAGCCTGCTTTACTATCCGTCTCTATCCTTTGCCCGGGCTGGTCCCATCAATACCTCTGTTTCCAGTATCCTGCTATCAAGTTAAACTTAGTTTTTAAACTTTCTTTTCTACAGCTTTTGCACTTATGGCAACCAGGCCATTTCAGATCTAACATTGTCCTTGCAGCTTAAACTCTTATAAGTCCTCTTACTTTAATTTTTTCATATTTTCTCCTTCACCATCTCTAATTGCTCTTAATTCTACTCAATGAAAACAAAGTTTTGATCACCTACCAAGTTCTTCTTTTACTACGTCAAAATGAGTGTTTGGTCCTCACTTTAAAAGCCTTTCATTGTCACCTACTCTAGTAACTTCCATAGTTGTTTCATCTGCTTTTTTGGGAGGAAGTTTTAACTATCCACCTTTCTGTTTCTTTTCACATGCACTTCCTTTTCTGAACTAGCTGACAAAGGCATTTTCCCTGTCCTGCCTGCGCGGTCTGCAGAACAACCACTGAAAACATTCCGTGCGATAGCAGCAAGAGACAGGCAGTAAAGTCATTGATACATAATTAAATAATTCAAAACCATTAACACCCACAGGGAGGCATACTGGGAAAAGATGTTTTGGTAAGTCTTACTTTTGTTTACCGTTCGGCTTTCATTCATTCTGTTCTCGTCACCATCACTTCACGGTGACACTGCCAACAGGAACGATCTCGCAGCCCAAGACAACCACCAGCAGTAGTATCGCAAGCGACGCTACTCTCCTAAAGGAGAGGAAAGCCGCTCCTAGGGAGCACTCCTCTGTAAACTTGCATCCAGCCTCACCTTCAGTTTTGCCCAGCAGCTGAGGCTATCGCCGCCAGAGCCGAGCCGCGGTAAGGGCGGTTGGAACAACCTTTAGGAAGCGGCGATGCTGCAAGGAGCGGCCAGCAGGGCTCCAGCCGCGCCCTCCCGCCCCCC